CAAGATCAACACTGATGGATGCGTCAAAGATGGATTTGCAAGTGGTGGAGGTATCATTAGGGACCACGCAGGATACTGTATCAAGGCATTCTCAGCATCATATGGCCCACGTTTCATTTTGGAGGCTGAACTCAGAGCCATACTAGATGGGCTTCTATTAGCCAGAGGACTTGGGATTTCAGCTATCTGACTCGAGGCAGATTCAACATTGGCTATTCACTGTATTACCAAAGGTGGAGAACCATGGTCGATTCAGGGTATTCTTAGACAGATCAGAGACCTCATCTACTACGATAGAGACACGGTTTCACACATCTACAGAGAAGGCAACCAGGTTGCTGATTCTCTTGCTACAGAAGGCTGGAATCATCGGCGCTATCTAGAGTATGGACCACTAGAACTGCCTCGACATATTAGGGCGATAGTGCGGATCGACAGACATGGATTGCCCAGTTTCAGAGGTTCGTAATTTAGGCTATTCTTTATTGTATAGGGAAGTAGTACTTTCTCATTTATTGCTTTCATTTATTACATTCATTTGTTGCATCACTGCTTTTTGGAGGTCAGGTTCATGCCCCCCCTCCTTCCGTTTATTCTTGATTTTTATGAAATAAATATGGTTGGGGAACCCTTAACCCCCATCGACCTTCCTTGGTGGACCCTAAAAAGTCACTAAGGATGTGTGGATGTCTTTACCCAAAAAAAAAAAGAAAAAAAAAAGTCCCCAACATTCTCCAAATGAAGAACAACATCATGGGATGCAAGGGAGTGCTGTAGGATTCTATTTATTTCTGTTCAAATGTTTTCAAACGGTGGTCACAGTTCACTTAGTACAGGTCACGGTTCCTTTCTTTTGGTCACAGGCATCTTTTTGAAGGTCACATGTAACTATTTATCTTAATCTTGCTTACAGGTGTTTCACGATTTGAATGTACAAATATCAGAACTAGTCACAGAATAAAGTATTAACCGTGGAGATAGACGTCATCAAGTCACAGATGTCGAGCCTCAACTCTGATTAGGCAAAAAAGATAACTAAAATCATCCTGATGTAAGGACAGTCATAACGCGACATGATCGAGATTAGGAAAAACATGCAGTTCCTGTCTGAATCCATGACTGCAATGATCTCAAGCTCAATAGATGAGATTTTAAGGCGATTTAATGACAGGAAAGGCTGTCAGTTAATGAGTACGAAGAAACAGAAGCTACAGTAGTTGGAGGTGAAGAAAGTCATGTTATCGGAGGATTCGAGAAGATCGACGAGGTACGTACATGATAAGTTCAATCTATCTTTCACTAACCATAGTTACAGTTTTCATGTCTCAAATTCTCCAATTTTACAGACAGGTGGAAAATTGCAGCATGTTGTCGATAGGAAAAGGAAGGGGAAGGTTGACCCAACTGATGATGTTGCCTTTCTATGTAGTCTTCAATCGCCATCATTTGACCTCGGTATCGGATACACACAACTAAATGATTTACAGTCTGCAGAAATTCAAAAGCAGGTAGATGATATCATATTTGATGTGATCACAGCATCCAAAAATATTGACGAAGAGGTGTTCAAATTATTTTTTTTGGTGTAATCTGCTAGTCACACAATGTGTACATCGAATTTATACAAACTAAATGTGACCTTTTACAATTCACAGGGATCACCAGCTCCTGAACCAGTTTCTGAATTACCGATTAAGTGGGTTTCAAGGCTTGCGAGGATATTGCGGTCTCCATTTGTTATCAGGAAAGGAAAGGTACCGCGGCATGACGATAATGTTATTTGGAAATTATAAAGACCATGTTGATAAAGCTGATAAATCAGCATTCTTGGGTTGGTTTCAGAGAGTGTATAAACCCAAAAACAGTCATGTACATTTTTCTTACATTTTCAAATACACTGCTCACACAGTCATAGTATCATGATAGTCAATTTGTGGCAACAGGAAAAAGTTTAATGAGCACGATGACCAAATCAAACCAGCCTTTAGTATTGGCTTATACTCAGTTGGTCACAAGACATGGCTCCACCAGCTGATAGATGCTAAAACGTCTTTGAGCAGTTCGGTATGGTAACACTTATGTATCTGTTCACTACACATTTCCTTGTTAACCAGTTAGACAACATTAAGAAGCTCATACAACACCATGCACATACTGTTAAGTTGCCCACTGTTATAGAGTTATAACTTTTTAATGTTGTACCTAATTGTGTCCTTTATGTTCAAACAGCATACGGATGCATGCTTCTACTACATTCATCAAGTAGTGAAATTTGGAAAAGTAAAGTTTAGAGCTACAACGATGGACTCTTGGTTCCAGAACAAGATAAAAAGATATATTTCCAACTTTCCAAAAAGATCCTCATGTTCTATTATCGGAGAGCGGCTTGATTAAGGTTGTCACAGGTCACATGATATCCCTGAGCACATCTTGGGCCGATGTAGACTATGTGTTCATGCCACTCCTGCCTACGAACAAAGCTCATTGGATGCTAGTTCTAGTAGAATTTAGAAGCCATACCTTGATGCTGTTCAATTCTGCTGGAAAAACTTATCATGATTGGAAGGTACTGGAAGGTATTGAGCCTTATGTGAAGGTATTACCTGCTCTTATGAAAGCGTGGAAAATTTTGAAAAAAAGACCCCGATTATAATGAATCTGAATGCAAGCAAATGAAGGTGACCATTGACAGTACCCTGCCTCAGCAGACGAATGGGTAAGTATGTGACCAAGACTATGCGTATAACTTGTAAACTAATTAATTCAAAACATACTATATTGTGTTCTTTTACAGTCATGACTGTGGGGTATTCGTGATATTGTATGCATTGTATATCCTCCGTGATGGCAGATGTTATATTTTCCATCAATTTGATGTAGCAAAATGTAGACTTGATGTCGCCTCGCTACTCTACAAACACCGAAAACCTTACGTGAAGAAGGCGAGGCAGGCTTTTAAAGAGGAGGAGATTGTAATAGAATAACAAATATGAAAACATTTGTAAATGAATTTTATGCTTCAGTTGGTAGCTTTTTATATTTTTTTCAAGCAGTGGAGGTGTTTGTACTCAATACTGTCATGTGAATGTGAATATGCTTTTGCAATACATGAGTGCCCCAACTTTTCAGTTGTTAATATGTTATTGTTTGGATACACAGTTGTGCTTTTGGTCACAAATTTATTTTATATATATCTGGTCACAGAATTGGTTGTGTTTTTTGTCACAGTTTTAGTTTGCCGTGACATATGTCAACATGTCACATATCATATGTATAACATATCATGCGAAGAGTTGGTCACAGTTCATCTTATTTATTGAATCTGTGAATGGACAGATATTTGTTCGCCACCATGTTTAAGTCACAGTTAATTTATCCAAGAATCTGTGAATGGACAGATATTTGTTCGCCACCATGTTTAAGTCACAGTTAATTTATCCAAGAATCTGTGAATGGACAGATATTTGTTCGCCACCATGTTTAAGTCACAGTTAATTTATCCAAGAATCTGTGAATGGACAGATATTTGTTCGCCACCATGTTTAAGTCACAGTTAATTTATCCAAGCGTCTACACCACGTTTATGTCACAGTTAATTCCTTTAATTGAATCAATGGTCACAATTCAAATATATTGCTATGTATGTAATGTATAATCATCAATTTACACAATTCTATATTAAACTGAATAAAAAGTGTGGATGTATTTCATTAAGCATTTATTATTTTACTTTTTAAACATCATTTGTCAATTGATCAATTGAAACACATTTTTAAATGTCGGTATGCTAATAACAATCCAAGAAAGCGACCTAACTTTGATAAATTTTCATCATGTATTGACTACCTATTACAAGTTGGTACTCCATCAATTGTTCTTACTTAATGGGACCAAACTTGAGCATCTCCTGCAGTTATGACCACGTACACCACAACATCCACATCTTACTTTTGGTTTCCCTTTCCTAGATGATCTCTTCCTCTTCTCAGTAGGTCTTCTAGAACTCTGCTTCTAGTTAGGAGCTAAAACAATTTGGAATTCTACTTCATCGGGCACTCTTCATTCGTCTGGATTTCCAAAAGGATATATCGAACTTTCGTAAGCATTTACATATGCATCCTTTGGATAATAATAGAATAGTAATCATATGGATCCCTTTTCGTATGTGCAAAAATAGCCAATACATGTGGACATGACATAAGATTGACTTGTAGTATCCTACAAGTGCATGTACGTTGCTTAATGTCAACAACAAAGGTGGACCTTTCATCGCTCACGGAAAACACTGTTTGGTTGGAAAGAGATACCTGTGAGAGTAGTAGCACCAATGGTATGTGTCAGTTTAAACTCAAAAAAGAATAGGTCACAGACATTCATATTTCAATGCACAATGATATGTTCAGGTTACAGGACTTCATACTTGGGTGTCACATACAATCCATTCAGGTCATAGGTTTAGCATTAGCAGACAAAGTATATAGCACCACAAACAAAGTATATAGCCTTACAAACATAAATCTCTGGTCAGATGCAATTATAGTTTGGACACATAATCACATACGTACATTCCATGTCACAAACACCTATGATGTAATCACATGCATATTTCAATTTAGGCCACATACACAAACTCCAGGATACATAAGAAAGTTACCATCAAGTTCCTTAGTTCTAAACTCATTCTCCTCATGACGTTCTTGAACTTGCTTGTCAACATCGTGAAAGTTCCATGCGCTTCATCTCTATGTTTACAGAACCAATTTTGAACTGTTTGTCGTAATGAATCCAGCAAGAATACAATGGGATAATTCTTGGCTGCCTTTGTGACTGCATTTACTGATTCTACAATGTTTGATATCATTGTAGAGTATCTGTTTGCCGGCATATGTATTCATGACACTTTTCAAGGCCTACTTCATCCTTCCAAAATATATCGTACTATGAGTATAGTATAAAAGAATATATGTGACCACTTCACTGCATGTGACAATGGAGTGCTGTAGTCTGTACAGTACCAAGTAATCACGAATTTTCTCATTCATCGCGTCCAGGAGTTGCATGTTGTATTCAAATTCTTCTTATATGTAAGTGCGGACACCTGAATTGAATTCTTGCGCAATATTTTGCCCTAATTTTTCATAATATGACTTTAGATTCTGCAGCAAATTGTACGAGCAGATACCATGGCAACTTCCCGGATACACCTGTTCTATTGCTTTCTTCAAACTGTCATGACGGTCTGATATAAGACACAATCCTTCTCTGTATCCATGTGCATTTCTCAGTTTTTCCAAAAACCATCTTCAAGATTTGTCGTTCTCATTATCCCCTACTCCAAAAGTAAGAACAAAAATGTCATTATTTGCATCCTATGTACATACTGTGCATAGGGTACCTCCATAATGACCATTCAAATAAGTACAGTCGATGACAATTACGGGCCCACAATGTTGCCACCCCTATATTGATGCACCGAGTACCATAAAATAATACTTGAACCTATTGTGACTATCGACCTCCAACTCTGTGATCGTACCAGGATTTCTTTGTCGAACCATGTAGAAGAAGCTTGGTATCCTACTAAATGATTCCGTCGGATCACCCCTAATCATCTTCAATGTTTGTTTACGGGATCTCCAAGCCTTTGAATAATTCAAATATACTCCAAAAGCATGTAACATATCATTGCATATGTCCTTTGGTGTGTATATGGTGCCAGTCGATGTGTACTTGTACTTGATGCTAGATGAAACAACTGCAGCTAATACTTGTCTGTGTGACCCCAACACCACATTTGATGTACATGTGTGACTACCAATCTTTCGAATCTTAGATAAATTAGTTTTACCCCATTTCGATGAACGGCACATCCAAGTACATCCTTCCTGAGAACACCTCACCATATATTCTTTCTTGTCAAATCGTTCAACCATAAACTCAAACATATTTCGTATGGCAAGAAAGGATAAGCTCAATTTTAAAATATCATTATCACGAAAAATCCTTCATTCTTCGACCTCACTAGCATCTACTATAGAAACAATCGTGACTTCATTGTCACAAATGTGACCTACATGTTCACTTGATGTTTTGTAGATTCTACGGCCACATCCAACAATGTATAAAGCTCTCTGTTACGATAAGCATTATCTGCGACCATGTCAGATGGGTACTCTATTGCTGCATCGGTTATGTTAATGATTAATAGGTGTTTAGCAGGATCACGATCGGCTTCTTTCAACAGAATGTATGCAAGCATGTTGCTGTCATTTTTTATCCTGATTGCAGGCAAATCGTCGTTGAGTACATACTTCAATGATACTGCTACCTTCGTCAGATCCAAGATGAACTATGACATAATCGTGTTTATAAGGTTTACATAACTACATACACGATCTACCAACGCCAATGCTGACTGAGATCTATGTAACAAACATACGTGCAAGTACACCATTTTTGCAAAATTGAATTTCAAATCATCACATTCTCGATGGTTAACTTAATACTATGCATACAGTTTTATATAAGAGTTTATGCAATAACATGAAGTCACATATGACACTTAAAAAAGCAGGTCACATTTTGGCGACGCACAGGTCACATCTCATGAACAAAATTGGTTTCAATCCCTTTTCCAATTCGCTTACACGTTCACATATGTCACATATGTGTATGGATACTGTTGTCTCGTGTGGTCACGTTTTGGTCAAATATCGGAATAGGTCACACACAAGTACGATCAATGTTAATATAACATATCTTACATATAATCGAAAACAAAAGGAGGTCACATTTAATCATCCACAATGAATCCTCTATTTCTTCGTCTTCCGACGTAAATCAAAAAGGTCACATATGCTTTTCATATCTTATGTTTGATGTCGTTACAATTAGCCACATTTTTGGACCTTTTATCATGACTTCTGCTCGTTCCATACCTTGATCTACTACTGTACGAATAGCATTTGCTGCTGCAGTTTGAGCGGCAAAGGGTGTCCCTCTTCTCATACCCTTGAATCGATAAGTACCTGCTGAGGACCAAGAAACCACCTGACCCCATACATCTGTAACCATGACAATGGTATTATTGAAACTTGCTGTAGTGTTCACAGACATCCACAATCGATACTACGTCTGTCTAAGACTGGTTACACTCAATTAAGTCACATATCATACATCTCTTTCATATTCCACTGCACAATGTTATTGAATTTGACACATATGTGACCATAATAGATACGGTCGCTGAAAATTTGACTACAAAAAAACTTCGGATCTTCTCTGAGATACTAAATGCGAAAAACTAGCAGTGCAATAATCGAACCAATACCTGAATTGATTTTTGTTATGCGAAAATGTCAATTTCTCCAAACCGATTCCAAATCTGTGACACGAAACCATCAATGTCGATGACATCAATCACTTCATATGTGAATGACGAATGCACAATTACCTAATTTTTTCTTCTTCGACAGCTGAAATAGGGTTCTACAGTGATTGGATTGAAATTACTCTGGATGTTTAATTTTTGATGAGGATTTTGTAGTGGTAGAGCCCTTTTATTGATGGAAACTACGCGGAAATTATAGGAAAGCTACGTAACAGAAAATATATATATATATATAAGTGAAATTTGAATGTTTACTTTTTATACTTCAATTGTGAATTGGTATTAACTATGCACCTGACATATGTTTACTTTTTCCATTTAATTATTATTATTTCAACATGGATTGGAACCAAATTAAATTCACAATAAGCTGGACACAATCAATTTTAATTAATAATTGATAGGGCCACCCCCACATATGAAAACCGCTACGATTGTCTTTGAGTTTTGAGATACAATTGACTTCATTTCAGTATGTCCCTCTTTAGAATATATACTTTAAATAATTCTTAGATGTTTAGAGAAATATGCGATTGTGGACTCGTATTTATCTTTAATTCTTATGCTTTCACTAAATCGTTTCATTATTGTACAAATTCTTAAAAGACGAGACTCCGATATTTATTTTGCATTTCAATCACGACATTGATAGAAGACACTCAAGATTATCGATATCAAAACTTGCAAAGATCACGAATTAACATTTAATGATGGCAACAACCAACCCCCAACAGCAAACCTCAAACAAATGAAATCACCCAATCCAATCAAAGTCACGTTCCTATAGTGTAAGTAAATTCATAAAAATGAGGCAGTACCTTGGTTTGCACGCGTGTAAAGTATTTTCTCACACGTGAACAGTGTCTTGAAAATTATATTAAAATGACATGCAAATCATTCTTAGCTAACCAAGTGGCTGAACAGGAAGTAGATTGGAAAGTTAATTAAGCAACAGCCAAAAAACCACAAGATTTCGATATCTGTTCCGTTCACCTAATCTAAAGGGCGAAAAAGAAATCACGTCATTATCGTAGTAATCTTTCACGAGTCATTTCGTGTCTACTTGGTAAACCAGGTTCTAAGTACAACTTGATCCAGTTCATCGAATATTAGGATAAAAAACTATATATTTTTATATAATAATATTTGTAACCCACTTTGGGAATTCTCATTCTTTTCGAACTCATTCTTTTTTACAGAATCATTTTCAACCATTTATTCATATAATAAAATATTTTACAAGTAAATTTATAATGTTTTTCTAATTTTTTAACCCCACATTCTCTTAAAACACCATTTGAAACTCTTTAAAAAAGGAAAAAAGAATGGCCACCCAATTGGAGCTAAATTGTATTTTGAGGTGGGATAAATTTGGCTAACCTTCATATGAACTTTGGGGATGGAGTAGTTTTATATTTTGAGCCAATTTTATGAAGTAAGAGTAAAAGAATTTAAGGTGGCTAAGCCAATTTGTTTAACTCTAGGATCTATATTATGCCCCCGTTTGGCCCTCCATTTTTTTGGAAATTAAAATAGGTGGAATAGTATTTTTTTGAAAAATGACTAGTTGAAAAAGAAGGAAAAATTTTCGATTTAAGTGTAATATTATTTTATGAAAAATTGTGTGGTTGAAAATAAGATAAAGAAAAATGAAATGTAATTTAATGAGTACCAAACAGGGGCTATATTAGTCGAGACTTTTCATGTCGGCTAAAGCCTATATGAAATATGAGTTTTGCTATGGAGATTGAGAATTGATCGAGCATGTTGTGGCAGCTCATCATGGAGTACTCTTTAACAAATTTTCTCTATTTTTACGTCTTATTTCTAAGGGAATGGCTTGATTGGGCATTTCGTACTCATACCCGTACGAGAAAAGGAAAATGATACACCACACTAGGAAGCTAATACCTAGGTTCCTAATTGGCTGTACTTGTATTTCTTGCTTCAATTGTAAGTCTGTGGGACCTTACTGTTGCAGTCAAATATTGATGTTCGAAATTGACTAATGTCTTCAAAATCTAATGGCGGATTAAAGCCGCAACCTTTAAACCATAAGAAGGCATTCAAAAACGACGTTAATAATATAAAATTCAAAGATTCTGTCTGAACGTATGAATCTTGCATGGCCCATGACGTTTTCATTTTCAAAAGTTACTGTTGGCTTAAGATAGACACTAATTTTGTGCCCCTCAGGTCAAGCAAGGCCCTATATAAATACTTTCATTTTGCAAATCTTTGTACCAGCGAATCATTAGAAATCTAATTTCTTATAAGAAAATCTCTTTTATCCATATGGATATGCATATTCTTCTTTTAGCAATATTCTTAAGTTTTTGTGTTCTTACGACACATTTTTGTGTGTCGAATAGTACAAGTGTATCGCTTTGTACACAAACGCCTTATCCAGAGTTATGTAATTCTCTCACCTTCAATAAACCTCAAACAAGTTTAGACGAAAACTTGTTTGATTTCCGTGACACTGCCCTTAGGGTTACTCTAGCTCATGCTGAAAATGCCCACAAGCTCATGTCAACTATGGACATAGCTTCATTCAATGACCTAGGTCAATCAGCTTGGACTGATTGTTTAGAACTTTATGAAGACACCATTTATCAACTTAATCGCTCAATCACCTCGAAAAATCCACATAGCATGCTTGATTCTCAAACATGGTTGAGTGCAACCATTGCCAATCAACAAGCCTGCCAAAATGGATTTGAGGAATTTAACTTGTCTTCCCATTTGCAGACTTTCCCATTTATGCTCAGTAACATTTCAAAATTCTTGAGCAATTCCCTAGCCATCAATAAGGCCATGATTTCATCCTCATCTGTAATTGATATTACTAATATTCATCACAATCGTCATTTATTATCTGATGGTTTCCCGGCATGGCTTTCTACCGGTGATAGAAAATTGCTGCAATCCTCTTCTGTTGCCACAGCTAAAGCTGATATTGTTGTGGCTCAAGATGGCTCTGGTAATTATAAGACTATTTCTGAAGCTTTGGCTGCAATTTCCAAAAGGAAGGGTACCAAGAGGTTTGTTATATATGTTAAGAAGGGAGTCTACAAAGAAAATGTGGAGATAAAGAAGTCTATGAAGAACTTGATGTTCATTGGAGATGGAATTGATGCCACCATTATTACTGGAAACAAGAATGTCCAAGATCGTTCCACAACTTTTCGTTCAGCAACTTTTGGTGAGTTTAATTTTAATTGGATTGCCATTTAGAGCACTTGTCTTTACAATTAAAATTAAAGTGGATATGTGATTTAACTTATTTGTTAATGTGAATATCTTTCGATTAGTTTCGGAAAACCATTTCCCATCTAGCTATGCTTCATCTAATTTTCTTATTCGGCTAAACAATCTTGTCGATCAATTTATGAAAATTGTGCATAAATGCATGTGAGGATGCCGTTGTTGAAGAGTAAGTTCGGTGTCCAACTAACACAACTTGCTTTTAAACTAAACTCAATGAACAAATTCACTTGTCATTTAGATAATAATATGTATACACGAGACGTCCCTTGCACGAATTGCATTTTCAAGTCAATATTCAGCCCCTGTTTGTTTTTTATTCTTACCCCGTTAAAAGGAAAAATATGACATTTATCCATCACATCAAACCATCAAATTTGAATTTCTATCTCTTGTGTGGGGCTTATAAAGACTATATTTTCATTCTCATTTTTTCAAAAATAGAAAACAAACACCCCCTCAGTTAATATTATACATCAGCTAGTTGGCTTGATCGACCCCTCTAGCAACACTTAACTATCGAATGTTGTCGTTTATGTGTTGCAAATGACCATTTTTGTTGTAGTACTTGATCATTGACCTATAATTATGCAATTATCATATATCAAAAACAAACAATTTTTTCTTATTAAAATCATTAATTATTGATTTTACATAATCTAATCAATTACATTTCACTAATATTTATCTATCTGCCTAAGACTTCTTTATTAAAACATGCACTAATTTTTTTCTCATATTCTTCCCTTAATCCTCAGCTGTTTCTGGTGAGGGCTTCATTGCTCGGGGCATGACATTCGAAAACACGGCAGGGCCTCAAAAGCACCAGGCAGTGGCGCTCCGTTCTGGCTCAGATTTCTCAGTTTTCTATGGCTGCAGCTTCAAGGGCTACCAGGACACCCTATACGTTTATTCGCAACGTCAATTTTATCGAGATTGCGACATATATGGAACATTGGATTTCATTTTCGGGGATGCTGTAGCAATTCTTCAAAACTGTAACATATTTGTAAGAAAACCAATGAGTAATCAGAAAAACACTGTCACAGCTCAAGGAAGAAGTGATCCTAATGAAAATACTGGTATTATAATTCAGAATTCACGTGTGGTTGCAGCATCAGACTTTAGGGCAGTCCAAAATTCATTCAAGACCTATCTTGGGAGGCCATGGAGGCAATATTCGAGGACTGTGTTCATAAAATGTACCCTAGATGGCTTGATCGACCCGGCTGGGTGGCTGCCATGGAGTGGAAATTTTGCTTTAAGGACATTATACTATGGAGAGTACATGAACACAGGGAGTGGTGCAAGTACTAGTGGGAGGGTGAAGTGGCCGGGATACCACGTTATAACCCGTGCTTCCGAGGCTGAAAAATTCTCTGTAAGAAATTTTCTCGCTGGAGATTCATGGCTTCCGGCAACTGGTGTGCCCTTCACGTCTGGCCTGTGACATGAAATTGCTGTAGTTTTCATAATTATGCATAAAGTTGGTGGATATTCATATACGTCTTTCTTTAATTAGTTAGGAAAGTGACTTGCAAATATATATGTATGATACAATTGTCACATAGTCTGTGCTGGATTGCTTTTACAAATTACAGATTGTATTATTGTACACCACAAGTAACATACTTGTCCTTTTCTATAAATCCAAGGATCATAATTTAATATTTATTTTCTATTTTTTCAGAAATAAAAAAGTTTGTGGTTTTTCTATTTTTTAATATATAAACAATATTACCATCTTTGTCTTTGTTGGTGTAGAGTGTATTTTCATATGAATATCTTTTGATCTCGTTCTTTAACATAAAATTGTCAATCCGAGTTACCAGATCCTAGGTGCTTGTTTCCAATCGTGTAGTGCTTTCTTGAGTTGATATACCTTTGAATTTTTCGCCTTTCTTCTTATATTACCCATGGATTGTTCCATATAAATTTATCCTATGAAATTATTTAAAAATGCTGACTTCACATCCATTTAGTAGACTTACCATCCTCCTTGAATTTTCATTGAAATAATTACTCCATTTGTCTCCAATTTAGTCACCGGAGTAGAAGTTTCTTCGCATCTAATTTGTTATTTATGTAATTGAATAATTCTGCAAATATAGAGAGGAAAAAAAAAAGAATATGTACATATGCTGCATCGGCAACACCTGTATGTCTACTTTTCTTTTGTATTTTGTCATCTTTCAATGATAATCTGCCAAGTGTTGATCTATATGAGTTCTGTAACAATCAAAAAATAAAAAATTCAGTACCTATAACATTGCAATATGTAAGTTGTACGTAGCTTTAACAATTTGTCTTACTTTATAGATGTCGACTGAATTCGACTATTCTCAATGCACTCATTTCGCTCCAATTCGTCTCGTCTTTGCGCAATTCAGTTAACTCATGTATCTTGATTATTTGAATTTCCCTTAATCATTGTATTCTTCCACATTTCATCTCAGATAGCTTCTTCACAATTTATAGGTTCTGCATCAACAAGTACAAAATTTGAAACATCATCTTTATAAATTTGTTGAATAATTATGATGAGGTGGTATATATATCTTCATCAATTGAACTTGATGAACTTGGGGTTGGATTTACCAGAAAACTCATGGAAAAATGTTGTTTGTATTTGCTCTACAATTTTACATCATTCTCTATTTTCTATTCAAGAGGTTTCCATAAAATCTCTGTTAGTGACATGCATTTATGCATTTTATATATCAGTGTCTCTTAAAGAAGCTAATGTATGAAAGCATAATGTCAAAAGGCTGGTTAAATAACTACTAATGTCATACTTGGATTAAGGTTTTTACTTCTGCAAACTATTTGCTATTGAAGCTTTTGAGCACTTACCCCGATGGTGACAAATATCGTTTGAGGATAACGATTCATAATCGTGTTCAAACCTTCCATTCTGACAATTTCTTGTTGCTGATTTATTTTCATTCTTCATCAACTTTTTCAACATTTTCAAATGATATTTATAACATGGAGAATGAGACAACCATGACTATGATAAAGATGATGAATCAAGACCTTATAAGGCTTGACATATTCGACGGATCAAACTTTACAAGATGGAAGGACAAGTTGAAGTTTCTTCTTACAATCTTAAAGATCTTTTATATCTTGGATTCAGACTTGGCGCCATTACTAACACTGTGGAAGCAAGAGTGGAAATGAAGAAGAGAGAAGAAGACAAATTGATATGTAAAGGACACATTTTGAATGCTCTTCCCAATCGCCTCTATGATCTCTACAAAAATAAACACCTCAGCAATAAAGATATGAGAATCATTGGAAAGAAAATATAAGACCAAGAAGGATGTACCAAAAAGTTTCTTATATCTAAGTATTTTTTATTTTAAGTTTCTGAATAACTTGCATTTGTTAGGACAAGTCCATGAATTGTAAATCATTGTCAATAAAATGAAGGCTGTAAAGATAGATCTTTCCTAAGCTTTTCAAGTTGGTGCAATCATTGGAAAATTGTCATCTTCATGGAAAGGTTATAGGAATAAAATCCATCACAATTTCCAATATTACTCTATGGAAGAAATTCAAAAACATCTTCGAATTATGGAAGAGTCAAGGGCACGAGATGGGAATGAACATTCTCATGAAGGCATTTTCAAAGCCCATGCCGTACATCAACCAAACAAATACAACAAAGATTCCAAGAAAAGGAAATCCAAAAATCTCAACAAAAATAACAACAAGAAGAAATCTAAAATTTCTTGTTATGTGTGTGGCAAACTCGGACATTATGCTCAAGATTGTAGACATCGCAAACAACCAATGCAAGAAGGCAAAGTGAACTCCAGTGACCCAATCATTGCTACTGTGAGTATTATAAATTCGGTTAAAGGAAAAGTTTAAGGATAGTAGTATGATACTTGTACCACCATACATGTATGCTATGATAGATCCCTTTTCAAAATCTATCCAGAAGTGGATGATGAACAAATTCAAATGAGGAATGAAGTTCAATCAAATGTTGTTGGCAAAGAAAGTACAGACTTGCAATTTACAAACGACAAGAAGATCACATTAATAAATGTAATGCATGTACCGGATATGAATAAAAATCTTGTATAGTGGCAATCTACTAGGAAAATTGGGAATAAAGTCCATATATGAGTCAAGCAAACTTGTACATTTTCGAAATGGTGTATTTATTGGAAACTTTGTACTATTGACAATGATATCAATAAAACTATAAATTTAAATTATATTGTTGAATCTATATCTTTATGATATGATAGACTAGAGCATGTTGACTTTGTCACTTAAAAAAGAATGATTAAAATTGGAATAATTTTATGTAAAAACCTAGAATATAATAAATGTGAATTATGTGTTAAATCTAAAATGATTAACAAACCTTTTTATAGTGTTGAAAGCAAATCAAATTTGCTAGACTTAATTCATTTTGATATATATAAATTAAATGAAATATTAACTAGAGGAGGTAATAGATACTTCATAACATTCAAAGATGATCATTTTAGGTTTTGTATATCTACTTGATGAAACATAAGGATAAAGTCTTTAACATGTTTAGATATATAAAGTCGAAGTAAAAAATCAATTAAATAGAAAGATTAAAATTCTTAGAAGTGATAAGGGAGGTGAATATTTTTCTAGTAAATTTTATTTTTTTTATTTTTTTGTGAACATGGCATAATACATCAGTACTGTGCACTTAGAACACCCAAATAAAATGGTTTTGCTGAAAGAAAGAATAAGGCACTAGTTAGAATGACAAACGCTATGCTATTAAATGTTAAGTTGCCATATAACTTAAAGGGTAAAGCTTTATTGAGTATATGTCACATAGTTAATAGGACTCATTCTAAAAGATTTAAGGTTTTTCTGTATGAATTGTAAAAATGGCGAAAATCGAACATTAGTTTATTTCAAAGTGTGAGTTGTCTTGCTTATAGTAAGAACACAGATCCTAAAATGACTAAATTGAGTCCTAGAGGAATCGAATGCATTTTTGTAGGATATGCACAAAATAGTAAGGCATATCGTCCATTAAACTTGAAAACCAATGTTATAATTGAATCCTGTGAAGTGGAGTTTTTTAAGAACATGTTTCCTCAAATAATAATTCTACAAGGGAATCTGAAGTGGAGATTCTTAGCTCTACAAAATTACAAGTAGAAACGCCTTTTGAGAATGTTGAAACAAGTGCACTTCGCAGAAGTAAAAGAGCCCGAAATGAGAAAGTGCTAGGACCAGAAGAATTAGACTCTCAACTTATATCTTTCTATTTAGTTGAAAGAAATGAAAAGAGTGTCACATGATCTACACCATATGTTTTTCAAGTGGAAACAGATCCTAAAATTTATTTAAAAGCAATGTCATCTAGATGCAGCACTTTTTTTAAGAATGCTATAAATGAGGAAATTGATTTGATAATGTCAAACAACACTTAGAAATTAGTCGATTTACCATTTAGATCAAAACCTACAGGCTACAAATGGATATTTAGAAGGAAGTACAATGCGGACGGTACTCTTAATACATCAATTAGGATTATATTTGCTTTAACCTCAATTTATGATTTGCATATACATCAAATGAATATTAAAACAGGGTTCTTAAATGGGATCTCGATGAGGAGGTCTATATGGAACTACCGGAAGGATTTGGTCTACCATGAAACGAGAATAAAGTATGCAAGCTAATAAAATCATTATATTGATTAAAATAAACACCAAAGAAATTGTATGAAAAGTTTGACTTAGCAATAATGTCGTTTGGATTTAAACATAACAGTGTTGATAAATGCTTATATTCAAAAGTTTGTGGTAATCGTGTTGTGCTCGTTTGTTTATATGTGGATGACATGTTGATTATTAGCAATCAAATACAAAGTATAAAAGAAATAAAGAGGTTTCTATCTTTCAAATTTACAATGAAATATTATGGTCAAGTGGATACCATACTAAGTATCAAATTACACCAAGACTAGTGAAGGTTATATGTTAAGCCAATCACATTATATTAAGAATGTGATTAATAGGTTCAAACATTTAAACATTAAAGAGACTTATAAAGAATGATAGAAGAGCAATACAACTTGGGTATGTAAGATTTATCGGTAATATACTGTGTAATGAATAGGACCCAAAAAAGCATTTGTAATTAGTAAACTTGGTCGGTTTACTAGTAATCTGAGTAAAGAAAATTTGAAGTCTATCGGGAGGGTTCTTGATTATTTGAAGAAAACCAAGTATCTAAGTCTCCAATATTCTATGTTTCTGACGATATTAGAAAGATTTATCGATACTAGTTGGATATCTAGTGTTGGTGAGAATAAATCAACCTCACGTTGGATATTTATCATTGGAGAAGATTCGGTCTCTTGGAAATCTAAGAAAAAAAACAGGTTTACTCACTCAATTATGGAATTTGAATTTGTAGCATTGGCTGAAACCGGAAAATAAGCTTAATGGGTTAGGGATTCAATGTATGAAATTCTATTGGAAGAAAGGAATAATTCTTCCATATCTATCTTGTGTATAGGCAAGCGACTTGAGGTAAAACATACAATGAAGTATATAATGGTAAGTCTAAAAATATGAGTATAAGACATGACTATGTGAAGAAATTAATTAAAGATGGAATGAGTTCACATAAGTGAACTCAAATGAGAATTTACA